GGCAACCGAATGGCAATTAACTGAGGGACATAACTTTTCGCAAGGAGCTTCCACCAGGGAAGGCACAGGCAACCTGTAGGAATCCCGTAGATGATGAAGAGGAATGCACCAGTGGAGTTCGCTGCACAAGCAGGGATCCATCCAACTCACACAAACCAAACACAACCCACGCGCCACGACATACACTACGCACCAGCCCCCCAAAACGAATTACACTCCGAAGGACTAAGAAGTCCGGCGAACATGAGAAAACATTTAGAGAAGCCGAGCAAGCACCGGTTAGCGTCACTGCAAATAAAAAAAGGCCACAGGCAACTTTTGGGGGACATAACTTTCGCGACAACCTTCCACTGGGAAAGCACAGGCAGCTCGTTCGTAAGTCAAAGACAACCAAATGGCAATTACCCGAGGGACACGCTTTTCACAAGGAACCTTCCACTAGGGAAGCGCAGACAGCTCGAAGGCAAGTCGAAGACAACCTAAAGGCATTTACCCGAGGGACACAGAGGAATGCACCAGTGGAGTTCGCAGCACAGGCAAGGATCCGTCCAACTCGCACAAACCAAACACAACTCACGCGCCACGACGTACACTATGCACCAACCCCCCAAACGAATCACCCCGCGAAGGACTAAGAGGCCTAACGAACGTGCGAAAACATTTAGGGAAGCCGAGCAAGCACCGGTTAGCACGAATGCAAATAACAAACGCAATAGGCAACTTTCAAAGGACATACTTTTCACAACAATCATGTTGTTATGGCAACACTCACACGCATGCGGTACGCTAAAGCATAAATGCTTACCGAGTACTCCAAGCCAAAACAAAAACTAGTTAGTAATCATATGCATGATCCTACTTTAAGATGGCTAATGCAACACATGCGAAATGCAACTAGAAATGGGCTCAGCTATTCTAAACATGGCATGTGAAATGCTACAACTAACACGTATTCAATTTGGAATTGAAACACAATGCAGTTAGCATGATGGGTCGAGCCTGGTGCATGCAAGACAAATGTATGAATGCACACATGCATAGCATAAGGTATGCTAATTTAAATATGCCCTAGTCTACCATCATAAGCGGGTAAATAAAAGGGAAGAAAGACGTGGGGTTGGAAGACATACACACACTCACGCACACTTATTACACAATTGCCCTCGCTCGGAGGGTCCGAAAGAATAATATAGTCCGAATAAATAATGCCAAATTAATTATTACAGAATTTCTAATTAATTAACAAATTAAATGCAGAAAGAAGGTGGCCACAGCCCCGCCTCAGGATGCGTGAATGATGCATGCTCGACTCGTCTTGCCCGAAAATCCGTACCATGCCACTGTTGCCTCTATTAACAATGCCTTGCTCCTCCAAGGCTGCCAAAGTCCAAGGATATGTTCTTTGGATGCTGGGAGGTATCACCGACCAAGTACAAACGCCACCGGCCGGAGGAGATGATCACCGACCACTGAATAAGCTATCGGCCAAACATATTTTGCCGGTCGGCACCCAACTCTGTCGGCCGGCCAATTCTTCCTACTGAAACCTATAGCTGGCAGCAGCAGAGGGCAAGCAGTGTATGGCATGGAATTTTTAGGCAAATGTATGCATGGCCATACCCCCTATCATGCAATGGACTCGAGGGAGCATGGCCCTCGACCCTCGGGCCATCAATCACGCATTTCAATGCATGATGGCCCAAAAGCCAAGTGTGCAACCTCGATATCAAATGAAATGCAAGCACAAAACACATAAAAGGGCCCCAACCCCTATCATGGTTGATCAAGAGGCAAGGGATGCATGCTCAATGAAATGCACCCTAGGCATGGAGGCTAAGTATGCAACATGAACATGCAAATGAGCAGTGTATACTAGGCACGCAACCTAAACATGTAAGCAAACATGGCAAGCAACAACATGCGATGATGGACTTAAACTAATATGGATAGCTCGCAAGCATGCCAAAATCAGTGGCCATGTGATGAAAATGAGGCGACCAAGATGTATGCAAACATGAACAATACAATGGCATATGTTCCAGCACTGAAGTATGATGCTAAACAGCCCTGAAACATGGAAAAATGGCACCCGATGCATGAGATGAACCCCGAAACGCGAAACTAGGCACGCGGAATGACTTATAGCTATACAAAGCATGCATTATTTGATCATGAAGCATGAAGACAGAACCAAGACAGTCCCAAAATATGAACATTTCCAGTTCAAAGTATGTCCAAAATATGCTAGCATGGTGGACTAAAATAGCATGCAACGTTGACTAGCAAACGTGGTTTACAAGGCAAGTGTGTGAAGCATATGGTGTCTCACCAAAACAGAAAAATCAGTGAACAAAACATGTGAAAATAGGCCTAAATAACCACTGAATGAAGCCAACACATGCAAAAATAATGAGCTCCTTTAGAGGGCTATGCAAGGGATTCTTAAGCACCTACAAGATGGACACTTAGCATAGACAAATCAACTCTGAAAATCAAATAT